GCGTCGTCGCCTCCCCCCCCAGCCTCAGCGTGTAGAGAGGAACTTCACGGCCACTCAGCAATCAGTTAGACCCTTTTCACCCCCGTTAGCTGAGTGGCCGCGGCTGGGGTGCCGCCGTCCCCCCTTTGATGGAGGCAGCCCTAGCTAGCTGCCGCCCTAGCTCCCTCCACGGCCGCCTCCACTGAGGATTTGAGCCATCAACAATCCACTTGTCAAACTGTTCTGTTGCCGACGGCCTCAGTGAAGGCGTACAACCCGAGTGGCAACTGTTAGCGGCTCGCGCTCTATTGGATTCGGGTTCACAATGCTGTGTGGTGGGAAGATTAGGGCTCCTCGGGAGCGTTGAATTACGCTGTCAAGGATTATTTGATTTGGTTTGGTCGAGCACTTAATTAATGATGCTTTAAATTAAAAATAAAAATGCTTTGGGTTTTCCGCGAAATGTTTCATAGTTGTAGCGGTTGTTAGTAGAAAATAAGTAATAATGATGTGCTCTTTGAATGCGTGTGCATATGTTTTGTAAACGTATTTGATCACTGTTTGCTTATTGAAAAGAAAATTGAAATTGAATAACCCTATTTGTGCCGAAAGGAATAAGAGTCATTCCTCTCTTTGTTTTCACATTTTTATTGGCACTGTCGAAGATATTTATTTGGAAAGAGAAATAGGGATGTCTCTAACGTTTATCGTTTTGTTTAATTTGTCTGTTTGATCTATGCGCATCGGTAAATTAATTTGTTTGAATTTTTTCAGTAGTTGAACATTGATGCTTTTGAAACTTGGTTGAAATATGAGCATAGGACTACTTGTCTAAAAGGCTAGCTAGATTATCAGATTGAAATCAGCTGCCGCACAATTGAGTAAATGATTATATAGTGGATGGCTTGGTCATGCCTGCTTGCGTGAAAAATCATACTAAGGCCTATCTGTGCGTTCGAGTGCCTCTCCACTGAGGCCGTTCATTTGGAACTTGTGGGTGCCCTCAGCACTGAAGCCTTGTGGCCACGCTGGGGCGCTTCGTATCGCGTCGCGGTTTGCGGACCTGATCCGGTCGGATTGCGGAACGAATCATAGGGGCACAGATAGGTGTTTGAAGGAGGTCGTCGGCCTTCTGTCCAGTAACAGGACTTATTTTGGGTGCTGCGATGTCCAGGAAGGACATCCAGTGGAGGTTCGACCCTCCGGCTTGCCCACATTGGGGCGGTATTTTTGAGGCGGTGGTTAGGGTTGCAAGATCTGATGAGGTGCCTAAGGTGGCCTAGGTTGGTTGTAGATTCGGTCTTACAACGTGCCGTCACGACCCTGTCCCGCTTGCCGGTTTGCTCGCGGACATAAGTCCTTATGTCCGGGACGGGGGTTTGTTTAGGCCCAAAAATGGTCATTTGAGACGGCATCTAATCGCCTTCGACTTGGCGAATTACCCGATGGTGTCGAGGTGAGGTAACGCCGACGGCGGGGAGGGGGGGGGGGGGGGGGGGCACGTGTCGCTGGCAGTCGCTCGACGCGCGTGCTGAACAGTAGCTTTAGTGCAGCGACGCCGTCGCAACGTAATTTTTGTGGTGACCGTGGCAGCGATTTCGTGCGACCAGTTTTGGTTTTACCAGGTCTAGATTTCCAGTATTTGTGCGCGTTACTTCGCTATTTAAATTGTGTTTCGTGAAGACCGTCTCGGAGTCGGTTGTCTAAGTATTGCAGTGAGTCTACTCGGACCGTGTGATCACTGCCTTAGAAGGTCGCGTTCGAATCGCGAAATAATTTGTGGCTGAGTGAACGGAAGTGAACTTTGACCCACCGCTCATCAGTCGTGCCGCGTGTTACGTTTTTGATTATAATTAACGGGATTTAGTTGAGTTTTGAACGTCAAGTGGTATAGTGGTTGCATGCTTAAGTGCATTCTGACAATATTGATTCGCGTTAACGAGTTGCTTTGTGCCATTGGACTTAACTCTGAGATATTTTCCTGTGTCGGTTAAAACAGCTAAACCTTGTGACCCGCGAGAACCAGCGTTCGTATTAGATTATAGATTTGTGCTAATGGACGCTAGACTTTGAGTGACACCGAGTGGTGACGCCGCTGGAGTGATACCACATAGGGTGGCGCTGCTGGAGTCAGGGTTGCTACTGATTAAAAAGGGCTAATTCAGGTTAAACATGTATACACTTCTCACACACTACTTACATGTACCTACTTAGCGCCTGAACGAGCCTTGTGGTCCTTCTTCCCCTCTGAACAGGTACGTACTATTTATTTGCCTAACTTTATCACTGTCGTGTAGATCAACTCTCCATAATGCCAATTGGGCCCCGTCCTTAGTTATCCGTCGAGTCTACAGCTGTATGGGCCCCTGTATAGTCGACTTTGTCGGGACAGCTAAGGGCGTGTACAATAGGTGTTACAGATAGTCCCCTGTGCAGGGCATGTATGGGAGAAGAAGAAACGGCCGCTCATGTGCTATTGAAATTTCCGGAGGTCACTACATACAGGGCTAAACATTTCGGCACGCCGGGATCACACCCCGAAGTTGCATGCAACATCAAAGGACTGTTGAACTTCTTCGGGGAGATCTCATGGCTCGAATAATCATATTATTCCTGCCCACACGCAAAATACGCGCATAGACGTGGAATTTCGGAAAACAGCCCGTCGTAAACTAAACTAACTACCCACAATGCTAAGCAAGCTGATACCTCAGTAGTTTTTACAGTCCTGCTGCGAGCCGTTTCCCTTATATATTGGGACTATAACGGCTTTGCACCAGTCTTACGGTACCCGCTTCAGTTCCCAACATAAATTAAACAAGGTGCACAGCAAGCCTGCAACCACACACTCTCCAGCCCTTAGCATTTCGAGTGATATTCTATCATATCCGGCTGCCTTACCTGCTTTCATGCTTTTCATTATTTCATCTACACTTATCTCCTTACCTCTCTCCACTTCTTCCGGAATTTCTATTTCTATTTACTTCAGACGACTCTTTACTCTTAAACACACTTTCAAAGTATTCCTTCCATCTCTTTTCGAAATTCCATTCAAATTCGAAACTTCATCATTCAGCCATTCTCATCTCGTATAGCACTCATTCTAGGCTGTTTTGAATTTCCCCTGGCAGTTCTTACGAGCTTCCAGAACATTTTAATATTTGCCCGGAAATTATCAAATATCCTTCTATCATTATTATCTATCCTTTCTTGCTTTTTCCTTTCAACAACTTCTTTTACTCTCTTATTTATACGTCTAATATCTGCCTTTTTTCTTACAATCTCATCATTCATACCGCCAGAATTACCAGCTTTGGTTGCTAGTAAATCTAGCTATGCTCTCTTCTTTGCTTCAACTTCCATCTGTACCTCATCATCCCACCACAACGTATTACTTTTCCTTTCATTCGTTCACTAATTTTTACTGAAGGCAAAATAATTTTTTCTGGGTATCTGGTACTATATTTCAACAAACTAAAGTTTTAAAGTTAAAGTTTGTTGAAATATAGTAGCAGTACATTGTAATTGGAAAGATCATGTAGATTTATCCAATTACAATGTACTTGTAACTTATACCTAAAAGTGTGGTACATTCAGTAGCAGTATTTTTTTCATCATTACATCAAGTGATTGCGATTTACTTTTAACATTGTAGAATTGCATAAATTTAGTTTTAGATAGATTTATACTTAGATTATTGTTGTTTCTCCATTCAGCAACATTTTCAATTGTATTATTTATTTCATTTTCATATTCTTTATTACCACTAGAACTAAAATATATTTTGGTATTAATATAGAAATGTAGTCAGCCAATAATATTGTGTTATATTCAATGTAGTGTGGTAGATCATTGTTGTAAATTAAAAAAAGTAAAGGACCCAAAACACTCTCTTGCGACACTCCGTAATCATTTTGTACGTATGAAGATTGAAATTTTAAAATTTCCTGCCATATTTTACCTTTGTGTTGTATTTCATCACATTGTTTTCTATTTTTTAGATAGCTATGTATCCAGGAGTAAGCTGACCCTCTTATGCCATACGCTTCTACTTTTTTTTTAAAGAGAATATCATGACTGCCGAAATTGGTATTTTTCTGTTTATATATTATGTTAAAAATTTTATATGGGAAAAAGTAGCAAGTGTCATAGATTTACCTTTTTGAAAACCATGTTGCTCTGGTTTTAATATGGTAAACTTATGAAAAAGTCTGTTTTGTATAACTTTCTCATACAATTTTGATAGTATTGATATTAATGTAATTGGTCTATAGTTATTAATGTTATTTCTATCACCTTTTTATACAATGGTATAACAATGGAGAATTTCAATTGTTTAGGAAAAATTTCCATTTCAAGTTACTTATTTATGAGAAAACATAATACATCTATGATTTATAGGTGATATTTGCCATAGTTGCCACATTTTGCAAGTGGGTTGGCAACAGCAGTTTTTATTTTTATTTACCTATTATCAGGAAGATGCTGCTGCCTCTCTCCAGGTTTGTTATCCCTTTATCGCCTCTTACAACATCCACAAGATGATAATATCGGGTAATAGATATTCTTACACCTTAGCATCAATACTGAATTATTTAATTCCAAATGCATGCCAAAAGTTTTACTGCTGTGAGTTAAAAGTAATTAAGCACAGGGCACACTCACTGCTCAAAACAAGGGACTTCCAGAACAGTACACATGGTCACACCCCTTACAGCCCTGATTTAGCATACAGGAATACAGATTTTAATGCTGAAAGATGCACTAGCAGCATTTGAGAAGTTCGTAAAAGAGTCTGAGCCAGACTGAAAATGTATTGGAATAATTGGTTCAGGTGCATGACACTTTGTAAATAGGCTGTTAGAGTTCTTTAAAAAGACTTAAAAATAAAAACATTAAGCATAGAACTTTTAGTTCCACCAATAGTTTACAAGCAAAACATACAAATATTTGAAATAATTTACTTTAAACAGTTTTAAAGGTTATACTCTATAATAAACCATACAAAGTAAAAAACATACCCTGAGTATATCAATTTCATTTTTTAAACGTTGATTTTGAAATTCCAAATCTCTATTCTGTTTTTCAACTTGTACTAATGATGCTTCTAATTCTTTCTCAAGTTGTGCTGAATTTTCTGTGTACTCATCTAGTTCTTGTTGAATGTCGTTAGCTCTGCAAACAACAATTGTAATTATAACATTTTACAAATTGATAAATCACGTTTAAAATAACGAGTAAAAAGGAGTATTCTTACTTTTGCTCATAATGTTTAGCTTGCATTCTCCAATACTCTACGGTATCGGTTTCTAACTGTCTTGGAGATTCCATATTTTTAAACTACCTAACACGAATTTGGTATTGGTACCTACGTAAATTTTGATATAGTGATTATCTGGATACTGGATATATTACTTTTCTTGATAACTATTTATTTTATAAATTGAATTATATGTTACAATATTTTAAATTGTTTTTTTGTTACAATAATAAGAACAAGCCATTAATTTAAAACGCAAAATTGTGACACAATACATTACAATTTCCCCGTTTAGACTTCACACCAAAACAATTTTTTTTATTTTTATTTTTAAACTGGCTTTACGGCTCTGGGTTCTAGCCCTTCTGAGCCTGAAGTTAAAATTTATTAACTTTGCGATACATTCATCAAAAATTCACTTTCACATTGAGTCACAGTTTGTTTACGTTTGCACTATTGATTAATATCACGTTGTTCTCATTTCTATATATCTTGGACACCAGATATAAAGGAATATAATGGTCGGAAGATTTTTTCATCAGCTAATAAACTTTGAAGAGTATCAGGAACTTTATCATTATTAATATCTTGAATGGAATTAATGAGGAGTAATCTATTTAAACCAAATTGACTGCTTTGAAAAACCAGATATTTTAGGTCTCCTTTCGTGTCTCTACAATATTCACAATTAGCATTTTCTTTCATTCCCAAACGATGCAGGTGGGCGGCTACTCTGCTATGTCCAAATCTCATTCGGTTTACAGTCGTAATGAATTTTCTATTATTAATCCCTTTTTTGTTGTACCAAGGAGTGGCTGGCGGGCTTTTTTGTATTTCATAATACCAAATTCCTTTGGACTTGCTTATTTCTTCCCAGTATGCCTTCCATAAGGATCTCAAGTTTTTGCTTAACAAGGCATATATATCTGTAAATGGTATTTCCAGCATTGTCGAGTAGTCTGAACATGTTGATGAGAATATGTCTCTAGTAGCAATGTCTGCTTCCTCGTTCCCAGTTATCTCAGAGTGTGAAGGGACCCACATAAAAGTAACAGTCTTCTTTATTTTACTAAGAATGTTTAGTAAGTTTGTTCACGCACCTAGTTGCCCAGACTAAGGTCTACCAGACAGAGGCCAATACAGCTGTTAGGTTCGACGAGCAACTAGGACGGAGCCCAAGTGGCTATATGGAAAATGTTCTATCCTACTACACTTTAATGTGAAGGCTAGTCAAATAAAGAGTACTTACCTGTATCTGAGGCGACGACTGTCTCAAGGTTCGGTCAGGACGGAGGTGTGTATGTGCATGTGAAGTGGTGTTTTTAATGGTGTGGATTGTGGTTAACCTGACTGGACCATTGAAGTCGGCAGCTACCCGAACTCCGACACCGCTCCAAATTATGGTAATCTCCAGCGGCATCACCCACGGTCAATTTCTTTCTTCTTCACTATGTCAGTCTATTAACTTTATTGTACATTTAACTAACTTCAAAACGCAACTACATCCCGTTACTTATAATCAAAAACATAACACACAGCACGAGTACCGAATGTTCGGATCAAAGGTCACTTCCGTTTCGCATGGCAACAAATTATTTCTAGAACCTAACACGACCTTCTCTAGTGTCACAAAGTTAACCGTTCAACCGACAACGGAAAATGTCTCCGAACTATATCAAATTGCTGCTCCTGTATTATTGTTTAAATAATGGTTTGAAGTGGAGTTTGAAATATAAAAGTGGTGCGATTTTGTGTATTAAATGTCTACGCATGTGAACTATTAGTAGAAACGATCAAACAAGTGCTCTGATGGTGATGTGATTCTCAAAATAAGGTGTCTGTCTGCTTAAAATAGGTGCCTTGAGATACCATCGCCAACTGCCAGCTGGCTGCTGGCTCAAGTTGCCGTCAAAATCTCCCAAGGGCTGCACAATGTGACGCATCAACATATTGTGAAGCAGTGTACTATGAAGGATAATTATACATTGTAACTTCAGGCTCAGAAAGGCTAGAACCCAGAGCCGTAAAGCTTGTTATTAAAAAAATGTAGAACGTAAAGGCTCAGAAGAGCTAGAACCCAGAGCCGTAAAGCCAGTTTAAAAAAAGTAGAATGTAATTAGTGATGTACTTTCTATTAGTTAAGCCCGATTTTCACTACATTTAATATATTTTATATCCCGAGATATAAATTTTATCCCGCGATTGGCTTTCATACTGTGAGATATATTTTTCAATCAGTGTACGTTCGTTATTCGATATATTAGCGGTGGCGCGGAACGGTGTGCGGAGTACAGGGGGCGAAATATAATATAAAAATATCGCTCGGTCGATCTTAAAAAATATTTATAGTATGAGATGTAATATATATTACATCTCTGTGTAAACGATTCCATTAAAAAGTACGGTGAGCAATATTAAATTATATTTCGAGATATACTACAATATATTACATTATATCCCATAGTGAAAAGCGAGTTTTAGTGATAATGATTTTATGAATAACATGGAAAACAAACAAAGGCTACCTATGTCGTTCAATCTGTAAAACACTTTTTGATACATGTTAGTTGTTCTTATTACATTGTTACTTGGTTATTCTGAGGCTTATTTCAATATTGTGTCCACTGTATGAACTAATACACTCCGCAGTGTGACGTATCAACGTGTTGTATGAAGTTTTTTGAATATACAAATACAAATCTAAGTAGGTTGTATGGTCTATGACTTTTGCCTGCCTTAATTAACTGGATATCAGAGCAACAATCATCTGATGTGGTCCAGATTAAAATTAAAAATAAAGTATAACAAAAATGTTTAAAAAAGTGGTATAATCCAAGCTTATTATGTTTCTTTTGGTTCACTTTTTTAATAATAAAAGCAATCTTCAACACTTCAAAGTGTCTAAAAATGTTAATACCATTTATTAGGAAATTTAATTTCTGTATTTTTATCGTTTTTGAATGACGTGTAATGTTTCCAACGGTGGATTCTGAAGATATTTCGCAGGTCACGTCATTAAAAGAAAAACAAAGTCTTTCTAGCGATGTGCGAGATTCGTCAGAAAATTCTCAAGTGGCGAAACAAAACAATAACAGAGAGTTAACTGTCAATATGTTGATTAAGGAAATGATTTTTTGCATTGCCTTAGCATTGACTACTTACGGAGCTCTCCATAATACGTACGTTTTTAAACCATTTTGTTTATTGTAATCTAAATAACTATTCTCAATCTTTATTCAAGTAAATAGAAAATGTGACTATAACATGCTTATCGTTTAAAAGTTTATTCTGCGAATTGGTGTTTACTAGATTTGAGACATCAGTGGCTCTGCTTATAACTTGCGTAATAAATATAATTTAAGTAGATATTTGTTACATAATATTTTGAATGTGAAATATATAAATTTATTGCAGCCCTTCTAAAGTTTCCAAGCATCCACAAGCAGTAAATTTTTTCAATTCAGACTCTGTAGTAAAAGACTGGTATAGAGGTCAACTTGGCAATGCACTTGCTGCTGTCAACATTGCAGATGTGTCGTTTATTATGTATTACGCGCCGTGGGATGCAGAATCACAATATGTCAGAGGAGAGTTTGAGTTGGCAGCTAACATCCTTAGTGGCCGGGTAATTATTTTCATTATATTAGAAATTCTTCTGTGGTTATTCTTTGCACCTCCCATGGGTAGGATGCAAAGAGAGACTTCATTCCATCCCAATCGCCCAACCTATAATGCCAAACACAGCAGCAGTGTGCGGAACAACTGCAACCGCAATGGGAGCGTGAGTGGCTTCACACTCCAGATTAGACAATATTTCAAAAAGCTGAGAGGTGCATCAACAGGTACCTGATATCCATCCGGATGCAAGGTTAGCAGAAGGTCCAACAGGAAAGGTCATGGTCCTCCACATCTAGAATATGTGTAGACAATGTAACCAGTTGTGTTAGACCATATGTGCCAAGGCATAGTCAAAAATAGATCTTCCCGCATGATCAACTTAACATGATCTGAGCTGTTTTGGCAAGTGTAGGTTGTATTGATAATAATTATTTTTTGTGTAGTTTTTAAAAATGTTGCTTAAAAAGCAAAAATGAAATGCATAATTAATATAAAATTTTCCTTTAATCTACTTTTCTGTAGGAAATTTTCAAATTTTTTATATATTTCCCTCTTTAAAACACTAATTAATAAATACTTTTTATTTATTAATTAGTGTTTAACCATTTAACCTTCCATCCCATGCACGTGATTTTCGCCTCACCTGTCTGCAAATTACATGTCACTATTTTTTTACGACTGTGCGAGACCTGTAACAAAAAAGATTACTACTGAAAAACAACTAGCTACATTCAAATAAAAAATATTCTCAAGACTCAAAGAATTCCAAATTTAATTTTGTTAAAAGAAAATTAGTTAAATTAAAAATAAAGGCTGAAAATAAAGCTTAAAAATGGGAATATAAAAAAAAATCGTATTTATTTTTTATTTCGAGTTTTACAAGAAAAATATAATATTTACCGGAGATAGAGTAATAAGTAAATAAATAAAAAAAAAAGTTTTAAAAACTTTTTTCTAAATATTTTGTTACTACTATACAGATAAAAGTCACTCTCACAGATGACAAATTTTCAAATAGCACCATCTATAATGTTTTACTGTATAAATAACAGCTATCTTTTGCACTGTTTAAACCGAAAGATGTTATTTGGTGACTATAGTCACCATGGACAGGTGAGGCAATAATTTTCTTGGGGGCTGTAGTCACCGTGGATGGTTGAGTAGTTAAAGAGGTGGCCAATGTTTTCAAGTGACACTTAACATTAGGATCTAAAAATTTGCACCTTAAGTCAAAAATTCTAGTTTCTGCAACCCTCAAACCTCTCTGCAAATCCTCATATATCTGCAACCCTTGAGGCTAGAAATGCTCTAAGCAATAATTCAAGCCTAAATAATGCTATCATAGTAATACATCATATAAGGTGATTGGACTACCTTTCTGCCTAAGAGTCTGTCTAAATAGATATTACCTTACCTATTTCTACAGCCACATAGCAGTTGTGTTCAAGTCTGGAGAGCTAGCTAGAATAATTACAGGCTGTAAGGCATTCTATTTTAGTCCTCAGAGGCGTGAAGGTGGTATTGCCTGTGCCCCAGTCACTCAGACACTAGAAGCTATCCTGGTAGCCCATTCCACCTTGAATATATTATTGTAAATATACATTTAGGTGATAGAGTATCTGTTTGACACACTGAGATTATTCTTTGATTTTTGCACAGTTTTAATTATGATATTTCCTCCATGATATATTTGTTAAGTAGTGTTCCTTTTGCCACAATGCTAGATAATGCTATTTTGTTTTTCACATTGTACAGTTTAATTAATTATGTGTTCATTGTGCAAGAAAAATAATAATTATTAAAATTGAAACTATTTCATTGAAAACCATTTATAAAGTGAAAGTGCAAAATTTAACTGGAAACAAAAAAGTGTCTGTGGTGTTAACAATTGTTCACTCTCTGAATGACAGTTGTAGATGACAACTCTTTCTATAATTGGGAAATCCCCAAAATTGGTTTCAAACACATTTCAAATTTTGACTTGTCAGTTATGTGTGCATCGTCAGTCGGTCAGCCTACAAAAACTAGTTGACCTGTGCAGCCTATCAGTGGTGCCTGCTCAGACAACTTATACAAATTACGATTAAACCTATACTATTGCATGCATGATTTGAACAGTAACACTATGTGTGTATGTGTGCCCCTTGTCCCGTGGGTGTTGTAAGAGGCCACAGAGGGAAACTTATGCTTATAAAAACTAGCTAATTATAAAAATGACATGCATAGTAATTGGTAACTAAGACAAATATCTCCCCTATGAGACAATCCATGGCCTTTGTTCAGCAGTGGACTTTGGATGGGCTGTGATGATAATGATGTTCACAATTTTGAGATTGAGAATAGAACATAATGAAAATTTTGACCTATTTGGAAAAAAATAACACCTAGTGATGAATGCAGATTGCACTTCGCCACCAACAGTGTAACTAGCGTGTGCATTTAATTCTCTTTTAAAAAATGTTAGGCCCCCATTAGCATTTTTTCCTGTATTGAGGAGGCAGCTGACATACACAAATTGCATAAGGACATCCAGGGCCTTGCCATTTATAAGGTGCTGGAGAGCCATCGTAGCTCTACTGTACAAACATTTCAGCACTTCGATATACCGACAGTCAACTTGGCACCGCTGAAGGGACTGCAGTACCGCCCAAATTTCGACGGAGTCAAAGGCTTTCTCATAGTCCACATACGCAAGGCAAAGTGGCAGATTATACTCCTCTGTCTTCTGTACAATCTGCCGCAGGATATGTATGTGGTCTATGGTATTAAAGCCTTTTCGGAAACCGGCTTTATAAAGGAGTGGGCTCTTTTAATTATATCATTTAGATTTTAGACTATTTTAATTTAGAAAGGAAAAGTTGTTGCAGGACCTTAAGTCATGTCGGGCCGGAAAAATTGCTTGCGACAGTAAATTTTAACAGTGAGGTCGTGCAATTTTACAGAAAATTCTGCGTAAAACGCACGGTAATGGGCCGCTAACCATCGAGATGATGAGGAATAAAAGCTAATCCAAACAATTCCTCTGAGCACTCTCCGTGGGTGGTATGTGTGTTAGAAAGCGCACAGAGATAGAATGTCTCTTCCCAAGGACAGATCTTTGTCGTTGACATTTTGGACCGCTCTCGGTTGAATGCGGTCAAGTTGAAGAAACTAATACTGTGGTGCCCCTGCCGATCTGCACCTTGTAAAGCTGCAAACGTGCCAAGAGATGTGAACAGAATTTCATATATTACCGAATCTGCGCTCTTGTAAAGCTGCAAACGCCGGCATGAAATACCGTCTCGATCTTACTAACCAAGGTTTTTAGATGTCAGTTTAGTCTTCCCTTCCAAGTGATTGCGGAACTGTACGTCTCTAGAAATGTCGACGCCAAGGGTCCCAATGCTGGCTGAGCTATCAAGAGAAGTGTCTAAAATTGAGGAGATACGACAAAGGGGTCCTTTTTAGTGGTAAACACGCAAAATTATCTCTTCTGGGTTTCTGGGGATTGAACTGGACTAAATTTAGTCGACCCCAGTCAGAGACTTAGTTGAACAAAGATTCGACTTCAGACACAAGTTTGTTGCGGAACTCGATGATGTATAAAACATCGCTAGAGCTATCGTATGCATTATAATGAATGTTACTAGTTTGCAACATATTATCATTGATATGCAGAAGGAACAGGGTAGATTTTGGAATAACAGCATTCATGGGCTTCGAGTGGGAGCATGCATTGTCGACTACGACCTTAAAAGTCTTTAAATTGCATAATTTCTCGGGAAGCCCTAAAGTGGAAGCTTCGAAAGAAAGAGAAAGCTCTTTGTATCAAACCCGGTCGTAGGCTTTCGTTATGTTCGTACTAACTATCAGGGCCTGTCCCTTGATCTCGATTTCCTCCGCCCATTGGTGAAAAGTACACAAGAAGATCATCAGCTGAACGCCTTCGACGGAAACCGTCTATCAACCTTACCTTACTAATCAGTTGACGCTTCTCAGCTTACCTCATGAGCTGGCAATTAATAATAGATTTCATTATCTTGGAAAAAATGGTGATGCTATCCTCCTGTAGTTGGCGGGTCTGAGCAGTCCCATTTTTTAGATCGGGTGCATTAAGGAATGACGCCTAAAGAAGGAGTAACGATAAAGACGCATAAGAATGGGGTGATTTCATCCTGCCCACTCGACATAGTATATCCGGCGCACTGAGCATTGTGTCGACCAAATATCCCGCATGGAGCATCCACACTGCAGGATAGTCGGCGGTGTATTTTCCACTTCATCGAGAGTCGAGTTGGGCGCAAAAAGAGGAACTAAATGATCGGCAGTCTTCTTTGCGGCGTAGGCCAGCGAGTCATCCTCTATGTGCAGAAATGGTAATGACCTTGGACAGCCTTGGTGAGAGATCAGAATTCAGAAATTCCCAAAGGAAGGCGAATTATTTTTTTGCCAATTCACCCAGTCTGCTGTAACTTTGCCCTAGTGATAACTCTTTAAAAGGAATTAAAGGCAGAGTTGTATTTCTTTTTGAATGCGCTAGTGTTTGCATCCCGAGACGCCGCGTCGATGCGTTGGTCCAGGCCTGGTAACACTCCTTCTTTTTCAGTGATGAAATTTTGCAGGAGCGACCAAACGATGGCATGCCTGTGATAGGCACTACAGATGTCGGGATGAAAAGCCATCCATGCACTACATCGGCGACAGACTCAGCAACGGTTTTGGGATCATCCAGCGAGAAGCAAATCTGACGTCATAGGTAGGATGCGAAAAATCCTGCATCACAATCTGCTGACCTATAGTGCCACACACGACGGCAGCCTACATATCGCGCCTATAATGAGCATATGATAGGCACCGTACCTCAGATCAGGCAGTAGTCCTAAGAGCCAAGTGGAGCATCGTGGAGATCTGGTAACCGTCCGGATGAAAGGTCAGCAGAAGGTCCAACAGAGAAGGTCCATGAGCTTCCACATTTGAAGTGACCGGTTGTGTCAGACTTTATGCCAAGGCAAAGTTATAAACATCTCTCTCCGTATGATCGGTAGTAAGAGAACCGAGTCATTCAGTACGGTGGGCGTTGAAATCGACAAGGAATACGACCTCTGCGAACAGGGTCTGTTTTAGCCCGGTATCTGTAGCTATTCGGACATGGAGTCGGTCTGTTTCGGCATTGCCGCTGTGGGATCTTAAAAGACACCCACGGACAGGTTTTTTCAGCTATTTACAGAAAATTGAACATAAATATTTCAACTTATAAAATTAAAATTTTGGTTTCGATCTAACACAAACAAATACGAGGGCTGCACTAAAAGTATCGGGCATTGAATATTTCCGCTGTTCCTGTCATATTAAAATCTTTTTAATTGAAAAGTCCTTGGTTTTTTAAAATTGAATACCATTTATTTATTTAAAAACAGATTCTCGGTCAGTTACGCTGGCATATTATAGGATTATCCGAAGTCCGAAGAGAGAGGGAGGACACGGTAATCCTCGAATCCGGCAACTTGCTCTATTACCGGGAGGGCGACCATCTGTCCCAAGGAGGTGTCGGATTTATCGTCCACAAGTCTCTCGTTAACAACGTTGTAAAGATTGAGAGTGTGTCGATGAGGGTTGCGTACCTTATACTCAGAATCACCAAACGGTATTCGCTGAAGGTCATACAGGTTTACGCGCCAACCTCGGCACACCCCGATCAGGAGGTGGAGGAAATGTATGAGGATATCTTTAGAGCCATGCATTCCTCCAAAACCCAATATACGGTGTTAATGGGAGACTTCAATGCAAAACTAGGCACAAGAGAGAACGGTGAGCTGAAAGTGGGGAAATTTGGAATAGGGTAACGGAACCCAAGGGGCCAGCAGCTGGCCGACTTCATGGAGAAAGAGGGACTCTTTATGATGAACTCTTTCTTCCAGAAGCGGCCCCTCAGGAAGTGGACCTGGTCGAGCCCCGACGGTTCGACAAAAAATGAGATTGACTTCATTATGACGACCAGACGACAACTGTTCAGTGATGTCTCAGTGATCGCGAGGGTGAAAACCGGCAGCGATCACCGAATGGTTAGAGGCACACTGAACCTAAACGTTAAGTTGGAGAGGTCTCGTCTAATAAAGTCAACGCTCCGTCCCCCTCGTGCTCTAATCCAAAGTCCCGAAACCTTCCAGCTCGAGTTACAAAACCGTTTTCAGTGCCTAGAAGACTGCAATGAAGTGGACGATTTGAATGACAAGCTCGTGGAAACTGTCCATGCGGTCGGAGCTAAGTTCTGCAAGACCCGCCTCAGAAGAACACAAAAACTCTCCGATCACACTCTTAATCTCATGGCTGTTAGACGGGAGATGAAGCTACATTCTTCAACAGATTTGACAGCATACAGGCAACTGAACAGTCAGTTTTCTAAATGCATGCGGCGGGACTTACGCAACTTCAATACAGCTCGTATTGAAGAAGCGATCGAGCGGAACCAAGGCTTCAAAGTCTTTGCCATAGATCTGTCTGCCAGAAAGAGCCAACTGTCAAAGCTGAAGACCGAATGTGGCAGCATCGTTTCCGGGGCACCTGAGATTTTGAGTGAGATTGAGAGGTTCTATGGGCAGCTGTACACGTCATCGTTGGAGCCGCACGCAAGTGTGAGTAACGATCCAAGAGCGAGTCTTATCCGACATTATTCCGATGATATCCCGGACGTCAGTCTGAGCGAGATTAGAATGGCTCTCCAGTACCTTAAAAACGGCAAGGCCCCAGGCGAGGATGGAATTACAGCGGAGCTTCTGAAAGCGGGTGGAAAACCGGTACTTGAAGTCCTTCAGAAGCTCTTTAATTCCGTCCTCCATGGTGGCATTACACCGGAGGCGTGGAGCAGAAGTGCGGTGGTCTTGTTCTTCAATAAAGGCGACAACGCTCTCTTGAAAAACTACAGACCGATTTCCCTTCTGAGCCGCGTCTACGTGCTGTTTTCGAGAGTCATTACGAATCGTCTCGCGCGCAGACTTGACGACTTCCAGCCTCCCGAACAAGCCGGTTTCCGAAAAGGCTTTAGCACCATAGACCACATACATACCCTTCGGCAAATTGTACAGAAGTCCGAGGAGTACAATTTGCCACTATGTCTGGCGTATGTGGACTATGAGAAAGCCTTTGATTCCGTCGAAAATTGGGCGTTGCTGCAGTACCTTCAGCGATGCCAATTTGACTGTCGGTATGTCGAAGTGTTGAAGTGCTTGTACAGTGGGGCTACGATGGCTATCCGAGTACAGAACCAGAGTACGAAACCTATCCAATTGCAGAGAGGTGTAAGACAGCGTGACGTCATATCCCCGAAACTCTTTACCGCTGCATTGGAAGATGTTTTCAAGCTTCTGGACTGGAAAGGATACGGTATCAACATCAATAGCGAGTACATCACTCACCTTCGATTTGCCGACGATATAGTCCTTATGGCAGAATCGCTGGAGGACCTAAGCACCATGCTCAATGACCTCAATAGTGTTTCCCAACGGATAGGTCTTAAGATGAACATGGACAAACAAAGATCATGTTTAATGTCCATGTCACACCTATGCCGGTAGTTGTTGGGAACACTAAGCTCGAAGTTGTTGACGAGTATGTTTACCTAGGACAAATAGTCCGACTAGGTAAGTCCAACTTCGAACGAGAGGTCAATCGACGGATTCAACTCGTTTGGGCAGCGTTCGGGAAATTACGGCACATCTTCTCGTCAGGTATACCTCAAAACTTGAAAACGAGACTGTACACCCAGTGCGTGTTGCCAGTGATGACATATGGAACTGAGACGTGGTCTTTCACTGCTGGCCGGATGAGGAAGCTCAAGGTCGCTCAGCGAGCTATGGAGAGGGCTATGCTCGGAGTTTCTCTGCGTGATAAACTCAGAAATGAGGATATCTGCAGTAGAACCAGAGTGACCGACATAGCTCAACGGATTAGTAAGCTGAAGTGGCAATGGGCCGGCCATATAGCTCGAAGAACCGACAACCGATGGGGAAGAAAGGTTCTCGAGTGGCAGCCTCGTACCGGCAGGCGAAGTGTAGGGCGTCCCCCCACTAGATGGAGTGACGACCTGGTAAGATATGCAGGAAGTCGATGGATGCAGGTGGCTCAGGACCGTGCTTTGTGGCATTCTTTGGGGGAGGCCTATGTTCAGCAGTGGACTTGTGAAGGGCTGTAATGATGATGATAATGATGAGATTCTCGGTCTTGTCACAAGCAGAATGGTACGCTAGCATTTGTTTGCCACAGGTCGTTTCTGAACTCCGTAAAGAGAACTGCAACCGCCGCATCATCCTCCATCACGACAATGCGAGTTCTCACACCGCACACAGAACAAAAGAGTTTTTAGAGCAAGAAAACATAGAATTATTAGACCATCCGCCGTACAGCCCCGACCTAAGCCCTAATGATTTCTATACTTTCCCTAAAATAAAGAATAAATTGCGTGGACAGAGATTTTCATCACCTGAAAAAGCTGTGGTCGCCTACAAAACGGCCATTTTGAAGACCCCAACTTCCGAATGGAATGGTTGCTTCAATGATTGGTTCCATCGTATGGAAAAATGTGTCAAATTTCGCGGAGAATACTTCGAAAAGCAGTAAATACATTTTTAAATAGTAATGTTGTGTCACTTCCTTGATTCCCGAAATTTTCAGTGGCGACCTCGTATACTCATTTTACCTTGTTCTTTCTTAACTTTCTGCGAAGTATATATTGATGTGCTGCATAGTGGCGGTTATTATATTTTCTTCTGGGACGCATTTATAACTTACTTAAGATAAATTCACTATAATTTCAGTTTCTTTTAAAAATGGAAACTAAAAATTCTCCCTTCATGATGCATAGCTATAACGAGGGAGGGAAACTGAAACACTGGGGATGTGCAGCATTATTTTACTGATAGCAACTGAATAATTTAATAGTGAAACTGCGGTCCGCCCCGCCTGGCAAGGGTGGCAAATATGGCAATAAATATCCCTTATGAGGACTGTCTATGAGACCTATATTTAACAGTGGACTTATGATTGGCTGTTGGTGTTGGTGACAATGATGATGCATAGTACCTTCTACATTCAAATAATAATTAATGGCATAGTTATTTTCACGCAGGTACATTTTGCTGCCATTAATTGCTGGAATCCCGGAAGTGAATGTAGATTACAACACAACAAAATTCCATCATGGCCTATTATAATGGCTTATACTGTTAATTCAAGAGGAGTGCTTTATAAAGGTAGATGTGGTTTATTACAACAGCATATCCAAACGACGTTCATTACATAAGTTAACAAAATTTCATTTTCGATAATATACTTATGATTATTTGATATTAATGTTTAATTTATTTTAGGCCCTAGAGATGCACACAGTATGGTTAACTTTTTGGAGTTAATTATGAAACCTTTGGAAAGAGTATCTTCAACTGAAGACTTAGTAAATTTATTGTCTGTTTATGATGTAAGTATCTAATAATCACACTGGCAAATATGATCAGAAATACAAAATCTTTAATTTTTTTAACTTTTATTCTAGGCAGTAGCTATTGGTTTTACACCTCTGACAGAGACATCAAAATATTATAATATATGGTACAATGTTGCCTTAAAGTCACGAGAATTCGATACGGTTGGCGAAATATGTTTTGCTGTTGTTACATCAGCAGAGCTTGCCATGGATCTTGGTGTGGAAAATTTGCCCAAGGCTCGCCTCATGCTTTGGAATGACACCAAGGTAAATAATATCTTTCGACATAAAATTACTATTAATTTTTAACACATTTAATTTTAGTTGCATATTTATAAATACTCATGTAAATTAATTTTAATCTTATTATTCATAAGTGTAAATATGAGCATTGGTAACTTAGATGATATAAGTGCTGGCCATAAAATTAACATTTGATTTTTTTAATAGAATAAGGGCGACATACGAGCACACAGTCCACCTGATGATAAGTAGATGCGGTGACCTATGGACATGAATCAATGCAAATGCGTTGTCACCCCTGAGGTCTGAGATGGAATGCCTCATTTCTAGTAAAAAGGATCTCTAGTTCTCTACACTCATCATACGAAACACAACAGTATTAAGCTCTTATTTTACGTTGGTATTATGTGACAGTGTAGTCCCTTCCCGGTCGAGCCGTCCATGCGAACTACAACTATATAGTTGCTCCATGTATAAAAAAAAAACATTAAACTTTCAACGTTAACTGCAAACCTCATTGGTGGGGGTGGCCTCTCATTGTACTTAAATTCTTTCAGAAGTGAGACGAGGCAAATGTTAAAATATCAAATACTTTTTTCCATATTTTACAATGACTCAATACAAGTACTCACTCATTTTGTAAAATTTTATTTACTTTAAAATATTTAATTGTATTTTCCTTTGTCTCTATAGGAATTTAAAACAGAAGCTGACAACAAGTCTTGGAATGAATCATCACTGATGCATTGGGTATTGGATAATTTTTCACAGCCTGTAGCAAGGATTATACCAATGTGGAAGAAATCATTTAGCTTTGATAGATATGCTGATGGTAATCCAATGTTGTTGCTTTTTACTCCTTTAAACCCTTTATACGAGCAGTTGCCTTCATACTCATTGGTAAGTGTCGCTTGTTGACTAAGCAACTGGCATAAATTGTCGTCAATATATGTAAATTTACTGACATAGATTTATAAATAACCAGTAGATGACATCATGCTGACAATAAATTTTAGTTTTAATATTTCTTTAACAGCTACGTGAAGTTGCGATGGAATATTATAATTGTAAAAATAATGACAGCAACCAATGGATTACGGAGTTGATAAAATTACAACAGGTACAGAGATTAATTTACCAACAGAAAAACTTTTTCAAGTTTTGCCAAGAGTATAAGTTCAAAAAGCCTATAAGAAAACCAAGCAAAATTTATAAAAAAGAAATTGTGTCAAATAATAATAAATATCCTTGGAACAATGTGACACAGAAAAATCAGAAAAACGGGTTTATTAATTTTATACTGAAACAGGGTCTTGCACTGTCGAAAGTTATGGAAAGTGGAAGTGATAATTCACCTTTTTGGTCTTCTTTGGGTATTTTGAATGAATGCACTGCAAAGTTTTTACCTGCGGAGAAAAGTTTCTATGAAAACTATGAACAATGCCAGTTGTTTGAAGAAAATATTAACAAAGAACAAGAAGCGGATACAAAACAGGAAAAGTAAGTAAATTTTTGGCATCATCTGTGTGTTTACTAAATTGAGTAGGCACATTAAGATGATATCTGAGCGGCGTTGAGTCCATACAAACATATTCCTCTTTTTTCTCACTGGATAAATGACACTAGAGCAAACATTTTTGATGATATCTATGTATATCTACCACTGCCATGTTCCTATATTTTTTTTTGCATAGTTTAATTATTTTATAAACTAGCAATCTTCTAAAATTACTAAAACTGCCAAGTTATAATATATTAGACATCCAGAAAACAAATTAAACGTACATAAAAGAGAAGTTGCCTCTTTCGGTTGTCTAGTTCCGTCGTTTGTGCACTGTACAATAGAAATATAGAGTTGAAAAATTATTCTTCAAATTTCTTGCAGCATAGAGGTCATAAAGGTCAACGTAGACAAATGGAGCGGTGGCAAAGCACCATTGATCTCACGCCAAGCGCCCTGCCACACCCAGTCGAATGATTCAAATAATATTATCATTAAGAATGTTGTTAAGTTTTATGCCATGTCCACTCTATCATATTTTTAGGTTCAGGAGAAAAAAAAACTGATTTTGGTTTTGAATCAACGTTTACTTTCATAATCCTACCATTCTTGCATTATGTATACGTAAATAAAGTATAAAATAATATAACACATTAAACTTGTGTTACTTATATTTCTTATAAATTATGAAAAAAATATTACGAAAAGTATTAGGAAGTGACCTTTGGCCTTGTTACTTTAACAGTAACACCAGTCAGAATTGTATGTAAAAATGAGGGATACCTATTAAAAATTCGAATTCACTAGCTTGTTATGATTAATTCCATTGTTTTAAATAGTAGTAACCGAACCAATTTTAGTATCACATCTTCCAAGTTTTTAACGGTGGTAGAGCCACGCGGTAGCTTTTGCTGTCGCACGTATGTGCCGGCTGGAGCCGGGTTGGTACAACGACCTCACATAATACAGGCGTGAAGTGGAAGCTCTGCTTCTGCGTTTCGTCTGGTTAGTGCAGGTGGCCAGAAGCCCAATTATTTTACGCCCACCACGCCGAATGGCTCGGTTCACGTTTAACCGATCATGCGGGGAGATCTGTTCATGATTTTGCCTTGGCATATGGTCTGACAACTGGTTACTACGTCTACGCGGATTCCAGATGTGGAGGATCATGCACTTTCACTGTTGGATCGCCTACTGACCTCAGATATCAGGACCGATATCAGGTCTCCGTTGACGATTCTCTTGGCTCCTCGGACCGTTGTCTAGTGCGAATTGTGGTGCCACTCACGCTGAAATCGCGGTTGCTTTCTGCAGGCTGCCGCCGTGTTTGGCACTATAGGTCGGGCGATTGGGATGGGATGCGGTCTTGCTTTGCATCTTACCCTTGGGGGCGGGTTTGCTTCTCGCCGGACGATCCAAACGTTGTTGCTAATTCTGTTGCTGATGTGATAATTCAGGGAATGGAACTTTTTATTATTTTATCTGTGGTGCCCATCGGAGGCAGATCTCAGTCACGCTACAAGCAGGAATGCTACCGGCCCTGGGCAGACGCATCAACGTCCTAGGATGTAAACACCAACGCTCTTAATAAGAAGTATAATTCCGCCTCCAGGTCCTACAAAAGAGTCATTGCCAAGGCACAGTCAGAGCACATAGGCAGAATTGGCGAGAAACTAGTTCGCCTTCCTTCGGGAACCCGTGCATTCTGGTTTCTCGCCAAGGCTGTACAAGGGAACTTCTGTCAGCCATCTCTTAAATCATGGAAGATGGCTTTTGTCCACCCGATCCCTAAAAAAGGCGACCGCTCAGATCCGTCTTACTAGAGGCCTATTGCCATCACCTCCTTGTTCTCTAAAATAATTGAATCCATTATAAACTGCCAGCTCAGGCGGTACCTTGAGGATCATCAGCTGATTAATGACCGCTAATACGGTTTTCGTTGGGGTTGATCAGCTGGTGATCTTCTGGTCTACCTAACTCAGTAGGCAGTAGAGTCCAAGGGGGAGGCATTGGTCGTTTGTTTGGACATTTCAAATACTTCGATCAGGTTTGGCACAAAGCGCTTCTTTCGAAGCACCCTTCCTATGGGCTTCCCGAGAAATTGTGCAATTTCTCACCAGCCGTAGCCGTTTTAAACGGTGGTAGAGCTAAGCGGTAGCTTTTGCTGTCGCACGGATGGGCCAGCTCGTCCCGGAGTGGTACCACGACCTCATAGAATACCAGTGTGAAGTAGAGGTTTACCTCTGCGTTGCGCTTGGTGAATGCAGGTGGCCGGAGGCCCAATTCCCCCCCCCCCCCATCAACTTGGTAGTGGGATTAAATAAAAGACTACCCCAGGAGGGTACCAGCGCCCCTGGAGAATCCCTCGCTGAGCATCCACGACCAAACTACTTCACTCCTGAGGCAATACAACCAAGGCGACCCCTGTCACGCTATCCGTGAAGTTTTGCAACATCAGGGGACTTCATTCCAACCTTAACGCTGTCCATTACCATCTAGAGACGGCGAAGCCGGCCTTGCTCTTTTTAACCGAGACTCAGGTGTCCTCTCCAGCTGATACTTCATATCTCTCCTACCCGGGGTACAAATTGGAACACTCCTTTGTGCCCCGGGCTGGAGTTTGCGTATACGTCAGAGAGGACATCTGTTTTCGACGCCTCGGCAGTCTTGAAGGTACGGACCTGTTCATCCTATGGCTGCGCGTTGACAGCGACGACCATCCCCGCGTCTACGGGTGCCTCTGTAGGTCCCATAGCGGTAATGCCGACAAAGACCGACTCATCGACCACGTCCAAATGGCTGCAGACTCCGTGCTACAACAGGTCCCATCTGCAGAGATCATGATACTCGGTTATTTTAACGCCCACCACGCTGAATGGCTTGGTTCTCGTTTAACCGATCATGCGGGTAGATCTGTCTATGACTTTGCTTTGGCATATGGTCTAACACAACTGGTTACTTCGCCTACGCGGATCCCAGATGTGGAAGACCATGTACCTTCCCTGTTGGATCTTCTGCTGACCTCTCATCCGGACGGATATCAAGTCTCCGTCGATGCCCCTCTGGGCTCTTCGGACCATTGTCTGATCCGGAGTACGGTGCCACGCACGCTCCAATCGCAGTTGCGATCTGCAGCTTGCCGCCGTGTTTGGCACTATAGGTCAGCTGATTGGGACGAGATGCGGTCTTTTTTTGCATCCTACCCTTGGGGGCGGGTTTGCTTCTCGCCGGAAGATCCCAGCGTTGTTGCCGATTCTGTTGCTGATGTGGTACTTCAGTGTATGGAACTATTTATTCCATCCTCTGTGGTGCCCATCGAAGGCAGATCCCAGCCATGGTTTGACGCTCCTGTAAAATAGCATCACGCTATAAGCAGGAGTGCTACCGGACCTAGGCTGACGCATCAACGTCTCGGGATGTAAACACCAGCGCACTTAAAAAGAAGTATAATTCCGCCTCCAGGTCCTTCAAAAGCGTCATTGCCAAGGCAAGGTCTGAGCACATCGGCAGAATTGGCGAGAAACTAGTTCGCCTTCCTTCGGGAACCCGTGCATTCTGGTCTCTCGCCAAGGCTGTCCAAGGGAACTTCTGTCAGCCATCTCTTCCATCTCTGCACAGGGAGGACGACTCACTGGCCCATGCCGCAAAGGAGAAAGCCGATCTGTTGAGCTCTCTTTTTGCGTCCAACTCGACTCTAGATGACGGGGGGAACACACCGCCGACCATCCCGCGATGTGAGTGCTCCATGCCGGATGTGCGGTTTACACAGCGCTCGGTTCGCAAAGCACTCTTCTCCCTGGACGTCAGCAAGTCGAATGGGCCCGATGGAGTCCCTGCCATTGTGCTGAAGACGTGTGCTCCGGAGTTGGCACCGGTTTTAACGCGTGTTTTCCGATACTTCTACTCCCAAGGCGTAGTCCCGAATTCATGGAAGACAGCTTTGGTCCACCCGATACCTAAAAAAGGCGACCGCTCAGACCCATCCAACTACAGGCCTATTGCCATCACCTCCTTGTTCTTCAAAATAATGGAATCCATTATAAACTGCCAGCTCATGAGGTACCTTGAGGATCACCAGCTGATTAGTGACCGCCAGTACGGTTTTCGTCGAGGTCGATCAGCTGGTGATCTTCTAGTCTATCTGACTCATAGATGGGCGGAGGCAGTAGAGTCCAAGGGGGAGGCATTGGCCGTTAGTTTGGACATAGCGAAGGCCTTCGATCGGGTCTGGCACAAAGCGCTTCTTTCGAAGCTTCCTTCTTATGGGCTTCCCGAGAAATTGTGCTAGTGGATCACCAGTTTCCTTGCTGATCGGAGCATCAAGGTCGTAGTAGACGGTGCATGCTCTGATTTCAAGCCTATCAACGCTGGTGTTCCACAAGGCTGCGTGCTATCACCAACGCTGTTTCTCCTGCATATCAATGATATGTTGCTAACTAGTAGCATTCATTGCTATGCAGACGACAGCACTGGTGATGCCTTATATACCGGCCGTGCCAATATTTCTCGGGAAAACGTCGCTGAGTACCGGAACAAACTTGTGTCTGAAGTCGAGTCTTTGCTTAACAAAGTCTCGGAATGGGGCCGACAGTTCAATCCCCAGAAGACACAAGTTTGCGCGTTTACCGCTAAAAAGAACCCTTTTGTCGTATCTCCTCAGTTTCAAGGCACTCCCCTTGCTGCCTCAGCTAGTATCGGAATCCTTGGCGTCGACATATCGAATAGTGTGCAGTTTCGTGGTCACTTGGAAGGGAAGGCCAAATTGGCCTCTAAAAAGCTTGGCGTGCTCAGCAGAGCGAGACAGTATTTCATGCCGGCACATCGCTTGCAACTTTACAAAGCGCAATTTCGGCCCCACATGGAATACTGTTCTCATCTCTGGGCCGGGGCACCCCAGTGCCAGCTCCTTCCACTTGACCGCATCCAGCGCAGAGCGGTTCGAATCGTCGACGACAGAGTTCTTTCTGATCGGCTCGATACACTGGCACTGCGTAGAGAT